ACATTTCAGATTTTTAAGGGGATTTTCCTGGGGCCCTTAAATTCCTTTTAACGACCCTGCATGCGGTTTAATCCTGGCGGTGGGCCAACCCACTCAATGAAGCGTCTAGTATTCATGTCTATGGTCTGAAAGGGTTAAGTTTATGAAGCTGGAGTTAAAATTCAGCGAAAACACCAACCAATCAGCATCCAAGCCTTTACCTGATAAAATGTATCTAAAGAATTCCAAGAAATCCGCTCACAGTGAAGAGAAGAACAACTGTGTCAACAACCTTTATTACTTCACGTTTATTAGGCTCAGTAGGCAAAAAAAGAAAAAAAAAAAGAAAAAAGATGGTTGATGTAGTTTCCAAAAACAACATCCAAACGCTCCATCTGAGATGCAATACTAGCTGTTACTGCTTACTCGTCTTCGGAACCACTTTAAGGGTGAACCTGGACAGGTAAACTCACACCTTGTTTATGAGCGAAAATTATGAATTATCACTTCTGCCTTTATAACTTCTCTGTAATTTGTTAAGACCTGAGTCTGGTCGCCATGGTTATTGGCTGGGCATGTGAACGTTTATTATAAGTTAAATAGGTCACTTTAAACGCGGTTTGATCCAAAGAAAGTTTCTGAAGTTCTGATCAAGACCGATTTTTTTTTTTTATTGATTATTTTATATTTGTATTTATTTAGAGACTATAGGAAGAATTCATGTGCGTCACAAAGAAAGGCATTGAATTTTTTCGTTGCTACTTCATGAAACGTTTAAGGAGCATAATTAGTTTTGAAAAGGACTCTGTATTGAGTAAAAAACCTTCCAACAAAATCTGTTGTTCTTCTGGTTTTCAGGGATGCCCCTCCCGGTTGCAAGTTCTTCTCTGTGAAGTGCTCACGCAATGTTCTATACACCATTACCCCAACACCGAACGAGACTTCCCATTCTTCTCCTATGCCCCTCAGTGGAAACACAGTGTTACACATTAGCACGAAACCTAACTTTCATTTTGACCTCAACTACAAAGAAGAGGTAATTTGCACAGCAGTTCAATTAAAAATCTTGTTTTTGTTTAAAGATACTCCATTTAAATTTGTGAAAACAAAATTACAACACATGGCTGTTTGGAAGAAATCTATTTTCAACCCCATTGTGCTCTAGGAGCAAATAATTTATACTGATGAGACAGATCAACTCCTGCTATCATTGCAGCTATAGATGGATATTATTCTTTATATGACTGCAACGTTTTCAACTGATATTGTAACATTTGATGTTAAACTGGTAGCCCTTTTTCATGCATAATCAGCATTTTCCTTTTTTTCTAAGCTGACAATCTGGTTCTATAAGGAGGACAAAGCTTATATGGATTGGGCAGAGATTAGGATTGCACCTCTTGGTAAGTTTTGTTTTGCATAACAACAATTCTTGATGTACAATCTATTTCTTTGTTAGCTAAACTTTAACAGGTCATCACAGATTTTTTTTTTTATCAGTAGGTTACAGTCTAAATATTATTGCTGTAACAGGGACTGGTAAAACTATAACTGTAATGTGTTTGAGTCTTTGCGTTAAATGGTAAGTCCATACAAAAGTATTGAAGGAAAACAAAACATTTCTGTCTTTCAGAGCTCTCACTAGACGTGGATGCTGACAGAGATGGTGTTGTGGAGAAAAACAACCCAAATAAGGTAAAACCTTAAATACAATTATTTAAACTCATTGACCGTGCCTCAGTTCATAAGAACACGAGTACAGACTTGTGTCCTCGCCAAGTTTGTTCATGAGAAGAACACAGGAAAGTATGGACTGGTGAGAATGGGAGCACGCAGCATAAATATGGGTCAATTGGAACAGAAGCGTACTCGTGACTTCATTACATGCTCGGCTAATCTGGAGCTGCATTTCCCCTCCTGTTATTAATAGTCTCCAGATAATAATAAATTCTGATTTTTTTTCACTTATTGGGGGAATAGTAATTACCACAGTCAGATAAACACAAATCAAATTAACATTTTGCCAAATAAAACCAATAGGCCAGCGGTCCGTCACACATGGCTTTGCAGAGAGAGGGCTACTGCAGACGGGATAGCATTAGACATGGCTGCCGTTACCCTTGGAGGTCCACTGGTTGCCGCGTTCCTGTGAACTTTGTACATTTTTTTTTTCAATTACACATTAAACCTGTAAATAGGACATATAGTGATGTTTAACAGTATTATGGTCTCACCTCAAATTATCTTAAAACATACTTTTACTGAACAACACCAGAACAGAAAAGTTAGCTTTTAACTTAAAACTCTGAGCCCTGTGAGCGCTACATTGGAAGCTGCTGCTGCAGCAGTGCATGCTGGGAAAGCTGTCAGTCTCAAGAACGGACAAGTCTGCTCTAAAGTATACTCTATAAATAGGGAGGGGCGACAATAACGTCCATGGACTTTGTCTGTTCTCGGTCTGCTGTTCTTGTGAATTGGAACAGTACTAGGGCAAAGGCTGATGACATTTCATGAGTACACGGGCAGATGAGATTGCATATTGAGAGACGGCCATTGATAGGAATTCCGGACGGGTAATTATTGTTAAATGACGAAGTTACTGTCCCCTAAAAAGCGATTGCGCCTCGGGACTTCCCCACCGGTTCTTTTTACTGGGAACAAGTTACTTACTACTCTTAACTCAAACTGGGTAAAACCATATAAAAAAGAACTATAAAAACAGGAGTAAAAAAGTAACAGAGTTTATTCCAGATCAGGTCGTTACAGGACAGAGAAAATGCTTGGAGCTTGCACAGCTGTGGGCTCAAAAAATCACGTCCACGAGTGTCTGGCAAAGATTGAGCCCCGAACAAGGTCATCTTCTCCTTCTTATAGCTCATGAGTCTATGTGCTGGATCATGTGGATGTTTAGCTCTCCGTATCAGAAACTGACACACCATCCAGGCCCTGACCTGTATGCATCTTGCCTCTATACCCAAGAATAAAGATACATCTCCTCTATCAGTCCGGCTCCAAGATGTGCCCATATCCTGTGTATCTTTAAAAGACAAGAAGGCTGTTCTATTTAGATGACCTACTTACACAAAGTGACATCCACAATGTGAAGGAAGGTCATTTACTCTCTCTATCTGGCTAACAAAGTAACAATGCACATGATGTATAAAAGAATAAACCTAACATTAATGTGGTCAAATCACTCAGTCGGAGTTGTTATCATAGTGATTACTTGATATTTAACATATGCAGTCCTTCTGAAATTAACTTTAAATTAATCATAACACACAGATTTAGGAATAAAAAAGATTGATATGTTCATCCAGACCCCTTCTCCTAACCCATTTTTTTCTCAAGTACGTATGAGAATTTATGTTTGCACATTCATGTTGATTTAGCATTAGCAACATTAGCAGTTTGCCATGGTTTGTTTAATATGAGCGAGATGTGAATAATTAAATTTTTATTTAGTTATATTTAAAGTACATGAAGAACTACTGAAATTATTTTCAGATTAAACATAAATAGATTCATTAAGACAGGGGAAAAGGTATTACTTTAGGGTTAGGATTAGGATTCACTCAATGATAACAACCTAATGAGCCTCCTGGGACAATCTGAAGCAAGTCTATGGGAATGATAGTCGCTTATAACGGCCAATTATTGGGATGATGACATCCGAAGCGCAGCTGCATATAGCCACTTTACTGTGTAAAAGAATGAATCAACATGATGATGATCCACAGGTTCTATATATTAGAACATTTTTAGACTTCATTTTCACCTGCTGTCAGTATATTTCACCTAAATAGATACATTCTCCCATTCAAGAAATAATCCCATATTTTCATGGTAACAACAACTATGGCAAGATGTTTTGATATGTACTAGTTTTACTAAATATGTATTTCTGTTATCTGCATCTTTTTTTCTTTGTCTAAATGACCTTTTTAAACAAAATTATATTCTCCACATCTAGAATAAACATTCTGGATGTCTATGAATTAATTTCAGATCTCCATATTCTTAATATTATTGGTCAGCATTTGTATTATTCAGATATTTGTATTATATCAGATATCATAAATGCATTTTCAGTCAAGCTGATAAATGTCAGAACGTCGACTTAAAATGTGTAAATATTTCTAAATATATAAAACTTAATTCTAACTAGTATAATTTAGTATTTTTTTACTTTCTAAAATTCAGTTTCTGCTAAAAAAAAATGTAATTTAGAGAATATGTATTATTACAGTTCAGTCTAGGAAATTGATTTTGATCAGGACTAATTTTATTTTAGTGATCTACAAATGGAACAACAGAGACAAATGCTTTTAATAAATATAAAAACGGCCTGCCACTTCATCTAAACTTGCCCATTAATTCGTGCAACAATCTTCTCCTTCGCCACTTTCCTCTCCTTTGTTCTTTCTTTTCTGTCTTTTTAACACATTTTCCTTTTTTATTTCTTATTTTTTGCATTTCTGCATTAAAAGCTCTAGTTCCAGTGGGGTGAAACAGGCACTTCCTGTTGCCTGTTGTCATGGTGACTCGTCGAATTATGCTCCATTGATAATGGCTTTTCATACTTGTTATGTATGCGCTTAACTCTGAGTGGACCTATATATAATTGATTGATAGCAGCCATTGTGAAACCGATCACTCAGAGTTCCCGACTTTAGGTTAGACCAATTTAGAGCTGTAGATTTGAATCTGAATTTGTTACAGCTGCTTCGTAAAATGGACCCCCGATCTTTTACACAATTGGTAAAAAGTTGCAAGGCAGCAATTCTTAACGACAATCTACAGCTGAGTCCTTGATTGTTGGAATCATCCTTTTTGGTGGGATAGGGACAAGAGTTATGATAGCAAGGTGGGCTAAAATTCTTCAAAGGCTTTGCTGGTTTCAACAAAGAGCCCACAGGGGGAAAGAAACTCGATCACTTTCACACATTTCACACAATTTTCTGGCAGGTTTGAACAAGCTTTGGTATTAAAAAAAGTCAGATTTCTGAGCAATGACCTCTTAAACACATTTTTCTTTGCACAAGCTTAAACATGTGACTGCAGAGATGGTTAGGTTTGGCCTCAAGGTGGTGTTTTTCTATCAGCATTCCTTTTTAAGGGCATTTCATAAGATGTTGAACTTGTGCTGTTCAAACATGTCCTAACATGGTTTTGGCTCCACGTTCCACCGCTTATTGCTAAAATTCAACCTCATTATGTTGCTCTAAGTACAGTTCTCAATGAGAAAGAACCAATAGGCACCTAGGGGTCCTCAACAACCACATGGGGTGACCTCAGTGTCTTCTGAAAACAGATCAACCAATTTAAAATTCAATTCTTTTGTTTTCGTTCTTTTTTTATAGAGCATTTCACCATATTAATCATACAGACAATTTCAGAATTTATAGAGATTTCAAATGACAATATCTAAAAGAAAAATAGGATTTAAAAGAACAATAGAAATACCGGTATGTTTATAATGTATGAAGTTTAGGTGGACATTGATCCCTGCAGTTCAGTATTGGTAGCCCTTCCTATGACTCAGTACCCATGAAGTAGCCCTGAGCCTTAAAGTTGTAGGGAAACGGCTGTTCCAACCGTTGCAGTTACGAATTCTACCGAGGGGTGCTCGACTTTACACGAGTGAATAAAGTGAATGTGATTGGTCGTTTATCAAGGTGGCGGGATTGTTGTAGCCGAAGGTTCGCAAGCAAATTTTGGTTGTGGCCGTTGTCTCGGATGCATTTTGCTAACCAATTAGCAACTTAGGGCTAGTAGGTTCTCAATGTGAAATTACATTGGGAACAAGTAGCACTTAGCAACAACACTGTCAAGGAACGCTATGGACAGTGGAAACATGCAAGAGAAGGAGAGTTTTGTGTCAGAGGTCGTGGATGAGTCTCCTTCATCATACATTTTTTATTTAGAGGAGGAAAGTGGGGACAAAGTTGTTGTGGAAGAGGATGCCAGGGTAGCAGAAGCTTGGTTTGGTGTAGAAGGCTTACAGCCATATATATTTGAGCCCTTGCCTTGCAACGCTGCCAGTTCTGTTAGCTCTACGCCTGCTGAACGTTCATCCCCATGAACGTTGGGACACAACTCAATGGTAAAATAAATTAATCTTATTTCTTATTTTAACCGTTGTGTATATCAGCTGCGACATAGGAATCAAGATGCTATGACCAAAAAAAACTGGCCTGCATAAAATAACAAGAAAAAAAAACTACAGATTTTAAGACAGGATTTTTTTTTTATTATTATTGAAATTTTCTAACTTTTGTGATAATCTGGTCTGATAAAGAGTAAATTTATGTACAAGTTTAAGCCAGAATGATTTAAAATTTAATTCAATATAAGTTCCCTACAACTTTAAAAAGGCTGGCAACCCCTGTCCTACAGTACCCATGTGCAAGAATTGATTTCCTGACATCTTTATGTTGTTTTTGTTTCCCCTCTGTTACAAAGGCAATGTTACCCACCAGAAAGCCAAGACTTCTTATGGCAGAGAGTCTGTGTTCCAATGGATGTTGTGAATCAAAATGCAGATATTGGTTTATGAGTGTCAGGTTCCAGTATGGAGATTTTTTTATCTCATTAGTGCTTACTGAATACCTTAACATCTGGAATCAGCTTAATGGACACACCCATGTTTCTGTCTGTAAATGTCTCTGTGCTTAAAAATGGGTCACAACTCTGGTTGGCTGTTAAATTTGTCCTTTTCTTTAGAGGTTTGTCATATTCAGGTTGAGTATTGATGGTCTTCATTACTTTTGATGTAGGAATGCTCGTAAGGGAGAGTGGATATTGAAGGATACATTGGTCTCACCTGGTGTTGCTCTCAAGTGTCAGACTTGGAAATAAAGACTGTGGAGTTTTTTGTTTGGTGTCAAGTGTTTCTAACCAAAATGCTTGAAAGAGGTTTCCTGATATTGTGTGTTACAGAGCTGTTGGTGCTAACATTAGGTCTAAGCTGTACCATTTCCCCCATATGGCCTACCCTGGATACAGTTTATAGTACATCTGTTCCAACTACGTTGTTGTATTTACTGCGGTTATTTTTGCTAGCTAAAACTGTGTTTAATTTTGGTTAACTTTCATTAAGTTGCTCTTATGGCTGGTGTTGTCAGAATGCAAAACAAGTGTATTTTTAAAACGAGTGATGTTATAAAGAGTCCCCACAGAAATAACGGTATCTGCCCAATAGGCTGACCTGTACATGGACCCACTGTCATGATACGGGACAGATGGACCCAGTATTCAAGGTGAGACAGCCAGTAGGAAAGTTTAAAACATTTAATAAAAAAACAGACAGAACAGGACAGGACAAAGGCACAGGGGTGAGGAGCTGAAGGCTCACAGTGACTGCAGGAGGGGCGCAGAGCACCGCCGGTTCTCAGAAACTCTGGTTGTGGGAGAAACACAGGTAAGTGACCACGATCATCTGACAGGAGATGATTATCAGAGCGAGTCACTTATCTGGTTTAACAGTTCAGTCCAATCCCTGAAAGAGGAGCAATCCAGCCGCTGGACTGCCAACTGATGCAGCACACGTCACCCAGGGTGTCCCCGGTGCACAGCCCCTGAGGACTTACAGGAAGCTGATCAGAACAGGCAGGAACAGTTCATGAAATCCCGATGACCTCCACACGATCAGAGTTTCCGACGCCAACAGGAATGGAGTGATCTGTGCTTCCAGGAATCCTCAGAGCACTCAGAAAGGTACAGAATCCAGAGTCAGAATGAGTCCAGAAGAGTGACCAGGCGGATACGCACAGATGCAGAACAGGCTCAGATGCAGATGGCAGACTTGGTGGTTGAGACAAACAGAGACATGATGTTTAACCAGGATGAGAAGAACTTTAAACTGGTCTCCTTCTTGGAGCCAGGCTTAAGGGCTGGTTATACTCCTGCAGCAGTGTGTCGCAGTGAGCTTGACACAGACAGTTTTAATTTATACTCAATATTGAAGCGTGGTCTGCGCTATACGCTATGGGTCTAAATATGGCCGAGGAAGTGAGGGCAAGTTTGTCCGACAATGGAGGAACATGACGGTAAAACAGAGCGGGGATCCAGGTGGAAAAAGGGTCCCAGCGTTCTCTCACGCACCTCGCTCTTCTAGCTGAATGTCTTTTTTGTTCAATGTGACACCTACGCAGACGACCTGGTTTCGAAGTATAAAGGGTGGGTTATACTCCCTGCAGCAGCGTGTCGCAGTGAGCTTGACGCAGGTATTTTTGATTTATGCTCAATTTTGAGTGTGGACTGCACTATATGCTGTGGGTCTAGATACGGCCGAGGCGGTGAGGTAGTGGGGGCGAGTTTGTCCGACAACAGAGGGACATGAGTAGGGCTGGGTATTGTTCAAAAATTTTC